CTTGAGCTCAGGATTGCTGCTTGCATAAGGCAAGTCGGAGCTCTGGAAGTAGGAAGTGTAGGAAGCCGACGAGGACGTTGATGATGACGAGGAACCGTCCAGGTAGGAAGAAGCTCCAAATGGTGACTCAGTGTCACCTTGGAACATTTCATTGAATAAATCTTGCAGCTGTTCAAAACTCTCTTCCCCACTCTCCTGCCATTTCTCACACATTTCCAAAGGAGAAGTCAATCAATATGCTAAAGCCGTGGTTGAAGCAAGTCCTGAACTTGTGCTAATATGGTGAAGAAAATTTACAATTGGGATTCTGTCAATGAAAGAGACTGAGGAGGCTTACATCATGAGTAGGCTCCGTTTGGCTCATCATGACAGCCATTTCATTCAGGAAATCACCCATTCCCTGCACATAACACCATAATCAATGGCTAAGAGTCAATCTTTCTAGCTGAAAACAAATCAAAACAAAGCAAACCAAAAGGCTTCCTTTATGTTTACAAGGAGCACACAAGAACTGAAGCATGAAACCTCAAGGAGATTATTACATCTTGGTCATCATCATCATCACTGTTGTAGGCTCCGACGTCGTATAGGAACCTCTTGTTGGCATCAGACAGAACTGTGTTTATTAAACAAAGTAACAAAATAGAAGAGTTGGGAATTTGGGCAGAGAAAACATGCAGAAGACAGAACCCACCAGAATTCCCCCAACTTTCTATTGTCAAACCCCTAATTTTTTTAATATAATTCAAGTTGCCAACATGATGTGCCGTATGGAGAGCACAATTCTGGTGTCCAGAGAGCACAACTTTATTAATGATTAAGACGGTTTTAAGGAAGGAGGAGGGAAGTACCAGAATAGGCTTGCTGAATTGCCTGGAACTTGCTGTTGGCTTCTTCAACATGCTTCGAGTTCCCTGAACCTGAACAACGATCTGGATGCCATCTCTGAAAATTCATCCCCAGGAAATTTAAACAAAAGGCCAAAATCGTTAGACAATGTTGACCCACCACCCAGATTGACACACTTCATCAGAAAGTTTCAACCTTTGATCAACCCTTTTCATAATCAAGCTAGAATTTAAGTTAAATGGGACAAATTACACGTGCATGCAACACCATGATCAGAAAGAAAAGGGTAGAAGACTAACCAGAGCAAGTCTTTTGTAAGCATTCCTTAGCTCAGTGGCAGAGCATTCCTTGTGCAAACCCAGAACTCCATACAAGTCCCTGCCACTAGCTCTGCTGCCATTCTCTCCCAGATTTTCCATTGTTGCGTCCTTCTGTTCTGTTTCCGTTGTCAATAAAGTTCAATCCTTTACCCCTTTATCTTGTCGACAAATTACAACGAACAAGAACCCAATAGAACGCTTAAAAGAACAGAGCAAACCCAAAACCCAGTTTTAGAAATGGAGTAGGAAGCTGGCTTGTTGGCATTTTTTGGGGGTTCCGTGGAAGTGAAAAAGGGAAAGCGTAAAGAAGGGAGAAGAAAGGAACTAGCTTTTTCCTTTTCACCTGTGTCTTTCGGGTGGAGGAATTGGAGATGGGAGAGGGAATTGTGAACGAGGAAGAAAGAAAGAGCGGCTGGCTCTAGCTGGTGGCTGCCAAATAGTAGTCTCCAGAAACCGGCCAGTTTTATATAGGGATGGCAACAAAACCCGAACCCACGGGTACCCACCCGACCCAACCCGGTCAATGCGGGTAAAATCCGTGTTGACGGGTTTTGGGCCGGGTTTGGGTTTAAACCCGTTCACTATTCAACGGGTTGGGTTGGGTTTGAGTTTAGGTAAACCCGGCCCGTGGGTACCCGCCCACCCATATAATTAATTTTTTCGGTATATGTAATATTCTAAACAACTAATCTTATTTATGTTTTGTGGAGACATGTCTAATTTTTTCTTTTTAATTGTGTAGAATGAAGTTGATGTTATGGAGTGGAGAGTAAAGAAACTTAATTGAAAGGAAGAAGCTTTCAATTAAACATGTTATTTATGGAAAAGTTGTGATTTGCTTCAATTTTTTTGAGTTTTCTAGATTGGTGTTGAACAATTTGTATAGTTAATTTGTGATTTGCTTGAATTTTCTAGAATGGTGTTTTATATATGGATAATTTGTATTGAGAGATTGATATTTGACTTTAATTTTGATAAGAACTTGTAATTGTAAATTTTTTACGACAAAACCCGTGGGTACCCATGAACCCTCGGGTACCCAACGGGTTGGGTTGGGTTTGAGTTTTTCAAACCCATCGGGTTTTACCCCGGGTTTTTTTCAAAGATAAACCCATGGGTTTGGGTTTGGCAAAACCCGACCCAACCCGACCCATTGCCATCCCTAGTTTTATACATAATAATAATAATAATAATAATAATAATAATAATAATAATAATAATAAAGTTCCTTTCTTTGTATCTGCCTTGGTTTTGATTTGGATTTGTGTTGCCGGTAATGGTATTGTTATTGTATCCATCCACTTGCAAGTGTCATTACCATATAATAATCGTTCTTTCTAATATTCAATTAGTTCCTTTAGCTTGATATTTTGTTTAAATAAATATTTGCAACCACGAAAAAGATCAACTACTAATTGAACTTCAACAATGGGTGGCCTTAATATACATTTATATGGTCAAACTACTTAGCCCAAAAAATTCTCACATCCACCAAAAATACCCATTCCAAAAAAATTATGAATATATATCTTATAATCAGCCGCTTCAAATCATCATTGAATGTGTATGTAGATTTTCTGTAAAAATTCGATACGTGTATTGTTCTAAATATAGCATATGACATTTATTTCCAAAATGTATATGTTTATAATCAATATCTTAATATTCTTCAAATTTCAAAGTCAGATACACTTTGATTTTGTACAAAAGATATGTCCAGAAGGTTCTTCTGTGTTTCAGTATGATTGGTCTCTTTCGATGGCCTTCCCAAATAAAAATAGAAGAGAAAGCAAATGGAAGTATTGATTACAATAGGCAAGAAGGAAAATAGAAGAAGAAGAAGAAAGACGTAAATGCTTTCTTTGTTGGGGAAGAAAATGGTGAGCTCGAGAAAGAGGAATGGCCCCCCTGCTCAGCTCTCCTTCCTTCTTTGTTGATCTACTTTATCATCTTCGGTTCCGTATTTATGACGACTCAAATCTGTAATATAGTAATATGGATGTACAAGTTCTAACATTTAAATGACATTTATCTTCTTCAATATTAGTTTCTTCGGGAACATTTGATATGCTTTCAATAATATACTAATTTAATTATCTGACTGTACGTTGCAAATTGTTGTTTTCAACTTGAAACTTACGGACTATCGATCGCAAAAGATATGGTTTCTTCTTCCTTTGAAGTTTAAAGGGGATTTTTTTTTTAATTTTTAAGACTTTCAGAGTTAAAAATGATTTTTACTATTATAATAGTTTTTTTATGAAGGTGATTAACTTTATTAAAGGAAAGGTGACCAAAAACTGTACAAAAGGAGATCAGGAGGAATGATCTGGCGGACAAAAGGAACAGAAAAAGATCAAATCTAAACAGAAAACATGACCTAAGCTAGAAACGAAACCTAGCAAAGCGGATCAGACCGCTCCCGCTAGCCAAGAAACGATAAACAGAAGAGCAGACGCGCAGGCCAAAACAAAACTAAAGCAAAAACAAGGATAAGCGACACACAGGATCCAACAGACTAAACCCAGCAAGTACCCCCTGCTCATTACAGGATCGAAAGACCAGCCCGTGAGATCGCAATCATTGAATCTGACGGAGACATTCTCGAATCCAGGAAGCAGCACCCAAACGATCGATCTTTCCATTCGCAACTCCCCATCCTGCAACACTCTTCAGGGATTTTCTAGCAATCTGATCCGGGTTCCTCGAGACACCATTAAAGATTCTGCTATTTCTTTCCAACCAAATGCACCAACATACAGCGTGGAAAGCACAATATCTGAACCAAAGGAGTTTTGCATCATGAACTTTGTATTGCGCATAACCTTTAAAGGAGTTATATAAAGCTACATAGCATAGGAAGGAATCCAGAAATTGAATATTCAAGAAAATAGAACCCCTCGCGGGCACTTGTTTAAGAATAAGAAAGAGCTAAATATCATGAAATAAGGTTTGACCCTATTTATGGGTTATGGGGATTCCGTCGCTCGCTTATAGTAAGAGAAACTGAACCTGCGGTCGTAGACAACTATACAAGAGAGGACTCCGTAAACCTTCCCGTTTTTATTTACTCGGATATGGAAATAAATCGCGAATATAGTCCAAGTAATAAAAGCCCAAGTTACCTTTGGACTGAGAGACGAAAGTAGTGGAGCGAATGAGATTAGATACCCGAGTAGTCATAGCCGTAAACGATGAATACTAGGCACTGTGTGTATCGACCCCGTGCAGTGTTGTAGTTAATCCAAAAACAAAATTTTGAATATTAATTATTAATTCAATTCTAAATTTAATTAAAAAAGATAAAATTATTATGCAAATGTCGTGGCAGAACATGGTCAGTCAAATCGTCTGCGGTTACGTATTTGCATACAAATTAGAAAGGCTTAGAATTCTGAAATGATGTCCACCGAAAAAACATAAAAGAATTCTGAAAGATGGCATCCCTATTCACTTTGTTTCTCTCAAAGTCCATCTACTAATATAAAAGATCTATTCAAGCTGCCAGTTGCTTCTCTTTTGTCTTCTTCATAGGACTTGCACAGATGAGGCCTTTTCTTCCCAAATATAGGACCTACCTTCCTAGTTCCTCCTTCACCTTCTGAATGAATAATGAATATTCAATTCAATTCTTCCAACAAATATCGTTTGCATAGTTAATATAATATAAGGCTTATTAAGTATCAACTCCCCCTAATGACATCTTCCACACTACATCGGTTGACGATTAATGCTTTTGTCACCCAATCCATAAATATCTTCTTCGATCTTTTAAACTGTAATCACCAAGTAGAGCCAGGGATAACAAGTATCTTAACAATAAATCATTTTTGTGCATTCGACATTAACCATGGTTTGGTTACGTTTATGAACACAACGATATAGTTATTTAGTTGCAGACTTGCAGTGCTATTTCTGACCATACGGTCCTAAACACACCCATCTACAAAGATACATCTGATCTTGCAGAACTACAACTGGACATGCATTGCCTGCCTGTCTCAAAGTCTAGGAACCATGGCCGCGCAACCAGAAGGCATGACCTTCGTGGGCTACTACAGAAACTCAGCAGTTTGGAGTATCTCTCACCCACTTCGGAAACTGTTTTAGAAACTCATTCCTACAACTGGACTGGGGGTCTGCAATCTGCAGTCTGAACAGGTGCAGTTCAATGCAAGGTGCGTAAAACCTGGATTTGTCGAGGATCACAGTCGATGGGGACTGAAACATCAGGTATATTCCTCCGTTCGAATGGCTTTGATCCAGTCGAGCTCAACCTTGAAATCACCGGTACCAGTTCTGGCACCAGGGACACCACCTTCTGCATTGACAGAGAGCGAGATGCCAAGAATGCGGGCTTGATTCATCTCCATCTCTGCGTTTATGACATTCCCTCTCCAAGTCGGTAGATATCGAGCAAGTGGAATCTGAATACCGAAATCGCAATTCGCTGCGTCTTTTTGTTAGTGGCAGTTGAGAGCAATTCAACTAGTAGATGAGAGCATGAGGAAACAGCTTGCCTTTGCAATGTACCAGTTGTCCTTCGGTACATGAACGAAAGCTTGCCAGGAATTATCTTCTAGCTGTCCGGGCGAATTAACCCAATTCTCTGTATAAATCTGCATCAAGAGTTTCTATCTTAAGGGCAGAATTACAGCACCAATTGGAAAGAAGTGACTATTATTACAGTATGGATGGTATTTTGGCTCTGCCTAGAATCAGAATAAAAGAGAAGGAGACACAAATCTCACAGTTGATATATAGCTTCTTCCATCACCTCTAAGCTTTAGTGCAATCGTATCATATGAACCGAGATCAATGAAACCATCAAACTGCGGAAAGATTCCATATATTTTTCAGTTAGTCACATCTCTAAGATTTCGCAATGAATGATTCCAGTTCAGCACTTGGTTCTGGTTATTTCATTCACACATATTCTATCGATCAAAAGATATATTTACCTTCTTGGAACGCATTCCACAAAAGCCACCCCTACGTATGTTCCACTTAGAATCCTCAGCTAGATCTACTGATAGATTCCCAGAGAACACACCTATTGGGTAACAAAATGAGTACAAAAGGTACATGGCCAGATCAGAGATCTGAGAGGGCTGTACTAAGCAAATCGGACTAAATGCACAGTACCTTTCAATCCATTGTCCACTTCACTAATCTCTAAAGAAGCGGAGGAGAGACCTGAAAATATTTAGAAATTCTTAGAGGAGTAATTCGGGACCCCAATCTTGACATTTGACAATTTCAATGAATTCTGAACCCTTTGAAGAGTTCGCCTCAGTCGTAACAGCTACCAGACCAAACATCTAAAAATTTCCTAGCTTGAAGAGAGAGGAAGGCACAGCATGAAGCATTGAAGTTGGCAAGATACTGTACCTCCATACTCTGAATCTGAATATAGATGCCATTTCTTTAGTTCTTCCTTTGAGTTGAAGCTGAAAATAAGTCTTTCGGCAGGAGGCATCAAGTCTTCAAGGTTCCATGTAAGAGCTGCAGGGGGGGGGGCATACACAAGTAAATAAGGAAACCATCTTGTACACTAATGTTCTATTCAATCTTAGAAATCCAATAGTAAAGGCAATGCAGTGAAATCGTTTCCACTTTATGGGCTCGTTTTAAGTGTTTGATTCCCTGATCTAAAAATAAAACATCTCCACTCGATCTATTAGTAACAGTAGTTACCGCAATAAAAGCATGTCAAGCAATTGGTATTACAAAATCCTAATAAGTGTTTCCATATCCAACTCCTTCAACATTGCCGTTCCTCATCACTTCTGCACAATAGGACTACCTTATGCTATTCACGATTAAGCAGGTTGTAGTTCGAGTGGTTAACTATTCGGGTCAACTGTCATGGTTTACTTTAAAGATAATATGAATTCATAGTGTGACATTTACCATTAGCATTCGGCAGATAGTATGAATTTCACACAAGGAATACCAGGTGAAAGAAAGGATAAGCAGAGATTACCATATACTACAGCTACACACACAAAAAGCTATCTTTGCAAAACCAACGAATAATGCAGTATCTAAGATCAAGCGAAATGACAATCAGGCCAAATAGAGCACCCACTAGAGAAACCCATAGAAAAAGAAAATACCTTTCTTGGTGGCATTCAAAGAGGCTTGCCAGATTGATCGAAACCTAGACATCCCTGCCGCAGCTGAAACTGCAAAATTAGCCAAAAAGAACAGAATCAAAAAAAGCCATAAATTAGTGAGAATTTAACGATGCATCACGCACTAGAATAATGAAAAGGGAAGAACCCCTAGCAATGAATGTCAGCTCCCAGCTTTGAGCGATTCAGAATCGTGGAAGGCAAACTGGAAATGATTTGAAATGGTAGGCGAACAATCCAAAAGAAGACGAGCCACCTTATACAAAGCAGCACAAGAAGAGAAACAGTGTGACTCCGCTGCCTCTCAGTCTCAGGGAAGAAAGACACGTCTTCTACGGCGGTGGTTTCCTCCGCGGAAGGTGCACTGGTGGTTGTTTACTGTCCACGGCTGGCCAGGGGAAGCGGTGGAGGAGACAGGAGGGCGATCGCCCGGAGGTGGAGCAGCGAGTAACCGAGTTTGAGGAAAGTTTGAAGTTCCGAGCTGTAATGGGCTGTCGGCCTGTTGGGCCGTTATTCGTTTAGTCTTAACTGGGCCATGCACTCAAATATTTGAGCTTTTCAAGTCCAACGGTAGCAAGCCCTTCGATTTTCTATAGTGGGGATTTTTTTAATATATTTTGGTGGAAATGGAACTTAGGGGTCGTTTAGTTTTGATGATTGTTTAATTGAGATAGTTACAATGCATGTATTGTCCATAGTGTATTGTTTTTTTGAATTTTATGCACAAACAATACATGTATTGTTTGCTTGAAATGACACAAACTATCACTCAAAATGAGTAATAGTTAAATCTCAAGTTTTTGGTGAGATTGTTGAGTCTTTTTTTTCTCCCAACTATGTCCCTACATTTTTTTGTGTGTTACTTTCTTATATAAAAAAACAAAAGGTAAAAGTGACATTTCACTCAAAAAGTCACATAACTTATTTAAATACCACAATAAATATCACATAAACCAAACGATGTAAACTACAATAATACACCAATTTTCTAATATACATGTATATTATTATGCATGCATTGATGACAATTCATCAATTTAACTATCACCAAAACCAAATGATCCTATGTGTATTTGTACAAAGAGTTGATAATTAATATGCGACACAAAAGAGATGAGACCAATGACCTAGTAATACTCAGAGCTGTCACAATAACTAACTTCGAAGTGATTGGTTCACATTATAGGGATTTCATATTTATCTTCTTTTTTTTTTCCTACACATTTCCTCGTAAGATTGTCATAATATATCACCTCGTCATTTAATCACAAACGATAGTTGGATCTCAGTACCTTGTACAGTCTTAAAATGGGGTTCGTTGAGATTCCAAAAGAAGATTTCTCGATCATAAAAAGTTGTAATATCGTGTCAAGATCCTAATAACGTAACTCGGAGTTGTTGCGAGAAGTTCAATTGTAGATCCCTTTTGCGGGTGGTGAGTTTCAAACTGTCCAAGTCTCCACCTTGTTATAACTAGGGGTGTTCTTGTGATTGCCTTTTGCTTGGGTTGAGTAGTGGACCGGATCCTACCCACGTCGATGGCAATTGAGACGATGGATTGGGACCGGATCCTAGTTAAGTTGATGATTAATGGGAGAAGAAAACTTGTGTTCCAATGTTCTCTCTAAACCATAGGTGTGTTGCAATTTTCAATATCATGCATGTTTATTTGGATAAGTACATTGAGGAAAATGATGCACAATTATCTAACAACGGGGTTGAGTACACTAATATATTCTTAGTATGATGTGATGAAATTTGACACAAAAATAAACCTGTTATAAAATGATACACAAGCACAAGTTGGAAAGATGATAGGGGATGGAACTTAACTTGAATTAGGGCTTTGGCCCCCACCAACCAAGATTTGTTGGTTTGTGCATAGTTAACCACCCACTACTTAACTAGATACTTGAATTTTGAGGAGGGGGTTTACTCAATACTCATTAATTCATTGTTATGTCTTTGTCAACAAGCTAAAGCTGCTTTCCCTACCTTTAAATCACACCTAATATACAAAATAATAGGGCATACATTACCAACCACCTAATGCTTAGTATTTTTTGAAATTATTAATTAGCTCCTAATCTTATTCCCTCCCTCAAAAAATTCAGAGCATCTTTAACAACTCAAATCATTAGTCTTAACTTTTTTTTTGTGAAAGTTCTCCCCACCCAGTCTTCTATTCCAACTTTCTGAAATTAGTATCCTTCCAAGCTCCAACCCATAGTTCCATTATCCCTCTTTGGACATTTTTATTTAGAAATGTTAGAGGGATAGATGGTCAAAATGGCATGGCATGGCTCATTTTGATACTGAATATCTAGAATAGTGGTGCGAAGCTATGTTATGGCGAGAAGGGGGTGACGAACTCTACTCATAGTTAAAAAATTCTAAAAGTACATCATAATCATTTTGATAATAAAAAAAAATGTCATAAAATTGACAAGTAAAGCAATTGCTAAAATATCCACTCCTCCTCCTGCTTTATAATTACCGTTTAACGCCCTCTTCACTCGAATTTTTGGTTATGCCGTTGATAGGATGATGACAAGAGCCCTTTCAATAGTGAAAATAAAATCTTACTTAACCTCTCTGCTGTAAATTATTTTAGATGGTAAAATTTTGTTGTGATTAGGGCCGACGAATAACTAGAGAATACCGAGAAAAAAAAGGGCCGGTTAGCTTGCCAACCCTTTTAAGGGGTTGGAAAAATGACACCCCTATTAAGTATAGTTATTTTTTTATCAAATTCGTGTTGCATTTAATAATATTTGAAAATTAAAAACTCATATTAATTACATTCCTTTTTTTTTTAACTATCATTGCACTGATACAACTATCATTGAACTTATACAATTAACTCAGATTAATTACATTCATTTTTTTTAACTACCATTGCATCTATACACAGATACCATTGTACTGGTACAACTACCATTGCATTGAAAAAAGAAAAGTAATTATTATGGGTTTTTAATTCAGACAAAATAATTAAATGCAACACAAATTAATTACCTTAAAATCCTATAATTAATATGAGGTGTCATTTTTCCAACCCACTTAGGGATAGTCATGCTATCTCGCCCTAGAAAAAGGACAAGATATACCAGTTTCTTAGCATGGGAACAGAATGAATAAGGATTAATTAAACACAATTAGGTAGGGAAGAATGGGTGGAACATATGATAAGAGACAATGAATGGATAAAATAGAATAGGAACCAAAATCATTTTGGTTGGTACTGATCCATAAAATAAGAAAGGTAAGGAAGAGCATAAATGTGCATAGAAAAGGAAGGTACATAATCGAGCCAAAACAAAACCAGAAAGAAAGAGACCAAGTAAGCCATCTTGGTGTGTCGTGTCGCAGCCAATAGGTACAAACATTTTGGTTGAAGATCGATGGATCGATCTATTACTACTCCACGTGCTCGAGGGTATCTCGATATCCATACTCATCTCGTGACAAGTCGGGTCTAAATCAGGTATTTTATCATGGATTGCGGGTTGGGGCATGTTGACTCAATGGGTATGCAATTTATACGGAAAGTATTAGAAATATCCATTATTTTCATTATAAAACAAAGAAAACAAATTGTATTACGATAAATGTAGTTAAATTATTGGAGAAGTTGAGGTTTTCATTAATTTACAACTTTATTATAGTTAAAATATGATGTAATAAAAGAAAAATCCTTAGCGGTTTGACTAAGATTACATGTAATTTAGATAATAACGGGTCGAGAATGGAACAGATCGGATCGACGAGAGTATCCACGCTCGCCCTGCCTACGCAGGACTACTATGACACGACCACTGTGTAGCTAGGCATGACAGCTGTTGTTGTGGAAGAGAAGAGATGAGATGGCGACTGGCGCGCATGGATGGAGACTGTGAATAAGTTGGTTTGTCCATTCCAACGTGACAAAGGAACAGTGGGTTTTGATTTAAATGTCGGGTTATGGCGTCTGGGACCAGAAGGGAGAAAATGAAACAATAAAGAAAGCAAGTTGAATATTGTATATAAGTACATGTTGTTTCTTTCTTGCTTACAGATACCATCACAAGCTGTGCCAAAATTTGGTAGCAGTGATGAATTGAAAAGGATATCTTGGAGGAGAGTAATGGACAAACTTACTGGCAAAGAAAAGAAAAGATAGGCAGCAGAGCAGCAAGCAATAAGGTTTTGTTCGTTCAAATATTATTATAGCTCGACCGCCATGCCAGCTCCAAAAATAGGGCCAACACCCCCCAAAGTGAGGGAGGGACCCTTGTGCCTGTAATCAAGGTGTAGGTAGTAGGTACCTGAAATGGTAGCTAGGGGTTTGTATCAGCGGTGGATCGAGAATAGGGTAGAGTACTGGGTCAAATTTGAAAAGAGGTGGAGAGGATTGGATCGTAACTCATCGAACATTGAAACGAATATCTAAAATCGAAAATCTAAAAGGGCTATATTAGCTCTGGATATGGGAAGGGCTGGGCCTTGGCCCAGGGGCGGCCCCCTAGATCCGCCACTAGTTTGTATTACATGGTCATTTAACTTATGGTGTGCTGAGAATCTGTAACTTTAACTCCGAATTCTATACTCGTAACATGATGATACTCTTAATGGAGCTGAGTTTGATTGAGAGCTTGAGGCGATCTGTGTGGTGAAGGTGTGGATGATGACATGACACTGTCTAGATAGACGATGGCCGATTATGGTGTGCTTGGTTCATTTTCGTAACAATATAAAATATTGATACAATATTTTGGATGGAGGAAAATTGAACGACAATAACAATATGTTATTATACTCTTATAAGAAAACAACTCTTTATAAGTTCAAATCAAGTTATCATTTTTTTGATTTGGCAGAAGTAGAAGTTAAGTGAGCATGTACAACAAGTGGATGATGATTTGGGGGAACATAATTCATGTACAAGAAGAAATTATCATAGATTCTTAAGAAGCAAAAGTAAATGATAATGCTTACCACTAAAATGCATAGTGATCAATACTATTGATGGAAGAGAAACATAAACTAGCGCTTTCCAATACATTAAAACCAACTTCAACCAGTGGGCAGTGACAGTTACGGAGGGAATTCTTGAAGAGAGGGGTTAAAGATTCTTAAAAAATTGGGACAACAAAACCCTTTACATACATAAGGCTCCGTATGATCTTTAAAATTTAGAACCTCGTATTTTTAACTCATCTAAGAACCTCTCAACTCAAAACTCATTAGTTACATAAACTTTAGTATTATTAAACTTCAAAGAATCTCAATCGACTCAGAGTCTGACTACGTCACTAACTTATTTAGTTTTAAATGGTAACTAATACATAACTTAGTTTATCAATATCTCTGAAAAATAGCAAGATTGAAGCTATTGATGAAGGACGAGAACATCTGAAAATGCAGATTAAGAAAAGATCAGTGCATTTCAAATTAAACACTAATACAAGCGAGAAGCATTCGTGCCTAGGCCTGTCAAAACGGTTTCGGGTTTTCGGTTTAACCCGAACCCGAACCGTCAGCAGTGTCTATGGGTTCGGTTTTTTCGGTTTCAGCCCGTGACTTTTGGTTTCGGTTTCGGTTTCATAAACCCGAAACCCGAGAGGGAACCCGAAAAACCGAATGTTGCTTAGTTTTACGCTGTCGTTTTGTTTGTAGGGTTTTTTCTTCAGCCCTTCAGCCTTCACCTCGTGCCGTCGCCGTCTCTTTCGCTTCGTTCCATTCCACCTCGTGCCGAAACAGAGCGAGATGAAACAGAGCCTCCTCGCCGCCATCATCGTCCTCACCGCCAGACTGCCGTCAAATCCGTCGCCTCACCGCCAGACTGCCATCAAATCCTTCCCCTGTTATTCTGTTCCTCGTCGGCCGCATCTGAGTAACACAAAGATTCAGTGTTCCTCGTCCCTGATCCACCCATCGACGACGAAGAGCCAGAAGCAGACGACAGGGTGCAGAAGTGGAGATTGGCGATTTCACGAGCAACTCCTCTGGGTTCGAATCTTCTGCCTTTGGTCACATCCTAAATCATCGTACAAAACAAAGATGGAATCCCAGTAAGCTTCTACCTTTGATTGCTTTCTGATTGCTTGCTGTTGAGTTGTTTTGGTTGTGGCTTGTGGGTTGATTTTCTGGGTTCCCTTTGCTCCAAAGGGAATGGTCAATTTCTGGGTTGATTTTCTGCCTTTGGTTTTCTGTTTGTGAGTAGTGGTTGTGTTGTTGTTGTTGTTTAGTGTCGTGGGTGGATTCGACTTGGTTTGATGGTGGGATTCGACTTGGTTTGCTGCTGTTGCAATTGAAAATTAGCTGTGCTTTGGGGTCCTGGTGATAATTTGATAACTTTTGTTTCTTCCTTTCGTCCCTTTTCAAGATATTAGTTCTAGCTTTGGGAGCCTCATTGGTAGAGATTGGAAATTGCATAAAAGAATTATTAATTTTGTCCAAGTTACAAAACATTCTGGAAGTGAAATTGGAAAACAGTTGGCTAGTTGTTTGGTGGAGTGGGGCATTAGGAAGGTGTTTTGTATAACAATGGACAATGCTAGTGTCAATGATGTGGTTGCTATCCATATGAAGGAACAGTTGAAAGAGTGGGGATCAGATATTTTGGATGGAAAATATCTGCGGATGAGGTGTGTAGCTCACATTATTAATTTGGCTGTGAAGGATGGGCTTAAAGAAACTGGTAAATCTGTGGAGCGAGTGAGAGAATCTGTGAAGTGGGTTAAATCTACACCAGCTAGGAGCAGAAAATTTAAAGATTGCATTGAGTTTGAAAAGATAGCTTCGAAGAAATTTGTTTCGTTGGATGTAGCTACAAGGTGGAACTCAACGTATCTGATGTTGCAATCTGCAAAGCCATTTGAGAAAGCATTTCAGACATTAGCTAGAAATGATAAGAAATTCAAGAAACATCTCAATGAAAAAAGATATGGAAATGAAAGTCTTGGTATCACGACTTCTGATGATTGGTCTAGTGTGGGGCGGTTGATTGATTACCTGAAGCTATTCTATGATTTGACTGTTCGAGTTTCTGGGACTTCATATGTGACTTTACACCTCTTGTTTGATGAGGTATGTGAAATGTATACTATGATATCTGAGTGGGCTGATGGTATAGATTTTGAGGTGTCTTGCATGGCTGATAGAATCAAGTCCAAACTTGCCAAGTATTGGTTTGAAGATGAGTTGGAGAATTCAAAGATGAATCGGTTGTGTTATATGGCAGTCATATTAGATCCTAGGCGGAAAGTTGAATATCTTGAACAAGCTTTGAAAAAGGTGTATGGTGAGAGCAGGGGTAAAGCTTTGGTCGAAGAGGTGAAGGATGAAATGCGTCTTCTGTTTGACCATTACAAGCATAGGCTCGGACTTCCTGGCAGTTCTCCCATTGTGATTCAGGAAGATGTGCAAGAACCTAGTGGAAGTGGAGATGGGAAGAAGAAAGGGAAGATTTGGGGTGATTTCAGGAAAATGAAAAGAGATGCCATTCTGAAAGGAACCAGAAAAAGTTCCAAATCTGAGTTTGATAGGTACCTTGAAGAGGAGGAGGATGATGAAGTGGTTACACGAGCATTGGTGGGTTCAGAAGAGGATGAATACAAATTTGACATCTTGGGATGGTGGTCGCGAAGTGGGATGAAATATCCTATTATTTCTCAGATGGCTAGGGATATTCTTGTTGTTCCTATTTCCACTGTTGCTTCTGAGTCGGCATTCAGCACAGGAGGTCGAGTTTTAGATTCGTTTAGGACCTCCTTATCCCCTGAAGTTGTGGAGGCGTTGATTTGTTGTGAAGATTGGATAAGATCTTCAGACTCCGAGTTGGTGGCTGATGGAGAAGATGAGGGTGATGATGAAGTGGTATTTCAAAATGGTAAGGTTTTAATCTTTCTCTTTATTCTTATATTTGTTATCTTGATCAAGTCATATTCTAACAATTTGTTATTGTTTATGTTATCCAGTATATGTAGCTTTTCAAGCTCGGAGTGAAAGTGCACCTACAGGACCTAGTGGAAGCTCTCGTGCAGGACCCAATGGAAGCTCTCCTGCTACCCATGTTTTGGTCTCGAGTCCTACTATGTCACAAGTGGAAGAAGACTATGTCGACAACAATTCTGATGAGAATGATGAGACTTATGTAGATGTAGAGCCTGATGAGGAGTGATAATGGTAGTAGTATTTTATCTTGTATGGTGGATGAATTTTTATTTTACTTGGATGTTATCATTTGAGAATTGTAAAACTAATGTGTTTAATTACGAGTTGAAGATAATCTCATCTATGATTGTCGTATTTTATGTTGAACAAAATTATTTATAATTTTGCGCCAAACACCAAACATTTTTTTCATGTGATAGTTGATATACCTTCAATTTTGGACCTATGGTATTACTAAAACATTTAATTATACGAAAATCCACAATTAAATAAGATATGATTAAGTTACGTATAAAATATGTTTAAGTATTTTACTTTGTCTCTAAACTACTAATACTCTTTAATAGTTAATAGTATGTCTATAGTTATAGAATACATAAAATTAAATATTTTAATAATTAAATACTATTTTAATAATAAACTAATATGTAAATATTAGTTTTATACTGTCCATGTCCCATAAAATTAAACATAATGATAAAATAAGAATGTACAAATAATAAGAATATAATTGTTTTGTACAATGTAAAATTCAAATCACAAAACTAAAAAAAAAACTCAAACCGGTTCGGTTTCGGTTTCACCCGAACCGAACCAAACCCACCAACATCCATTTCGGGTTCCAGTACCCGAAACCCACATAAGAGCATCTCGGGTTCGGTTTCGGTTTGTGAGGGGGGCGGGTTCGGGTTTTCGGTTTTCGCGGGTTTCGGGTTCGGTTACCCGACCCGACCTGAACCGACAGCCCTATTCGTGCCCCTAAAGCCAAATGACCCAGAAGATTGAGAATCCAAAAGAGACAGAGAGAGGAGAAAAGGTTGGTTCTTCCCTCTCATCAATCCAAAATAACTCTACCCATAATCCGCCAAAACGTTTGATAAGCTACTACTCAATTTACAATTAAACATATAGAAATATGCTCTGTTTTCCCCCCCTTTATTCCTCTGTTATCAGCAATCCCAGCTAGCAGCAATAGAAATCAACCAACTCCTCCATTGACCCGGCCTGTGACGACGAATCTCTGTCCCCGCCGCCATTGATCTGGTCGTTGATCATCCAAAGCAAATGCTCGAACAGGACCACCTCGCTCCCGACGATGATCTGGCCGTCGGCGTCCAACCCGCCGGACCTCTGCATCAGCTCCTGGAACATGGGATGGCACATCACCTCCGTCGTCAAAAGGTACCGCCGCCGCGACTTCCCGACGTAGACAGAGTGAAGAATCTTCTGCGGCTCGTCAGACTCTGCCGCCGCCTCCGCCTCCTGCTGCTGCTGCTCGTGATGATGGTGGTAGGTCTGCTTGGCGGCGGAGAAAGACGGCCACTTCTTGATTGCGGATTTCAGCTTCGTTAGCTTCCCTACTTTCGCCATCGAAACGTTTTTTTTCTCTGTTCACGAATGGGGAAGGACGAGAGAGGAGAGTGTTTGATTCAAAAAAAGTCGAGGGTGGTGGTGGAATGGAAAGGAGGCAGGGGAAGGTTCACATTTATATGATTTTTGGAAGGGTGGGGCATTGGTGGGTCGAGTGGATTTTGATTTTTCACCATGAAATGCACCCATTTGCGCTTAAATGCATTGACAATTTTTAACCCACCACCCACTCATATTTAGTTTCGGAATGGGTCGGGTGGATGGCGGATGATGCGGGTTGGTTTGCAGATTCACCCACATTACAATGTACATAATATAAATGAGTCAACTTGACATGATATATTTATATTTCAGAACCTCCCTGTTTAATGTCAATATGTAAAATAAAAATCGATTTCAACATCCAGTCACCCTCCAAATTTGAGATTCACTTCAAGTGGCAAGATAATTGGTGTAGAGTTATCGGGCGAAACAAGAAGATGGAATAAGAAGAAAAAATGTCGAGTTAGTTCTGAAAATGGATAGAAATTCTATTATGGAGGAGTTTCCTATTGATGGAGATGATTATCGGGTGCAAGAAACTAAGAAAAATAATTCAACGGAGGAAAGAGAGGTAATTTGTGCACAAGAATCAGAGGAAAAAACAAAGGGAAGAAGAGGGAAGTCAAATTTTGGAAGATTGGCTTTGAGATTCAATCTAGGAGTAGCCCTAGTATCCGTCAACGTCTCTAAATCAATCATCCAGCTGAAATTCGAAATATCTCTCCACTCTCCAGCGTCAACGACTTGTTCTTTTTGTTGTTGAGTTGAGCGGGTCACCCGCACACCCGCCACCCAATGGATGCCTCCCAGCACAATCCGACAATCACCCACATACCCATCCACATAACGAAATTCGGATAAAATGCAAACGGATCGACCCAAACCCAGCAGATGACCAGCCCGCATGCCCAACCCTAATTTTTTGTTTGCTTTTTACGGTGTTGCTTTTTTTAATAATAATAACTTAATAAGTATAAAAAGGATGTGAAGAGTGGGCCCAGACGATGGGGCCCGGATGGCTCCTGGATTGGGAGGCCAGGCCTGAGGCCCGCTGTTTTGCGTCCTCTCCATTGCAATTTGGCACACGTACACTACGGCTAAATTGTAAGTTTGGTCACTTGAATTACTAGTAAATTTCACGTTAGCCACTAGAATTACTTTAATCCATCCGTAGTCACTTAAATTAGGTTAACAGTTCAAGTTTGGTCACTGACCGTTAGTCTCCGTTAACTTTTGCTGATGTGGCGGTCAACTATTATAGTTGACCGTTAAATAAGTGACGTGGCAATTAAAAAAATAATAAAATAAAATAAAATAATTTCTTATTTTCCAGCTAATTATTATAAATTAAAAAGAGAAAATCCTAATTTTTTAATTGTTATTTTCCACCGTAGTGAATCCTTCCTTCCATCGTCCTCATCGTCTCCGTCGCTAACTTCACCGGCGTCGGAATTCTACTACCTACAGTCCTCCAAAACTCCGATTCCTCAGCCACCACCAACCTGCTTGGACCATCACATGCATCGAACCTAGATGAAACGACTGGTGCAGCAGCTGAAGATTCGCTCAGAGAAGATGGCTCTCGAGAGACCGTGTTCATCTGCATTGGGTTCACCGGATGATTTGCATATTCTTCCATTTCAAAATCCACAACTTCCTGAACCGTCTCCAAGAGCCCATAAGACATGGGGTTCTTTGCTATTGCAGATGCAAGCTCTTGTAATTAAGCTGTCCATCCCACCCCCCATTTCTTTGATTGAAGCTATTCGATCATCATCATAACGTCTTGACCATGACCGTGATGATAGATCGACTTTGATCTGTCTTCCACGGTTTCATGATTTCCAAGCTGCTTCTTGTGTGAGGGATGCAGTTTCATGTATAAGTTACTGGACTGGATGTTTCTGTCGACAACCCCCTTATTGGAAGTTAAAGAAAAAGAAGGCAGCGTGAGGGAAACTGAGTTTGGCACTAATCCTATATAATTGCAAAGAGGCAACAAGGGAAGACTGAGGTTTCTTACTTGTTTGATTGCCTATTTGAGCCACCGTATGCTGTTGGATGATTATGTTGTGTCAACAACACATCAGTACTTCTTTTCTGTTGCAGAGCTGCCTGCCATTGTTGCCGATTTGACAAATTTGAGATTTCAGTGGACATCCTGCAATCATCACAAAGAAGTTACCTCTTTCGATTATATCTCATCTAGCACCTCATTGCAATGCTTGGTCCACCAACGAAGCCGGCGATTACCTCGACTCGCCGCCGCCGCTCTTCGACTCCCCCAGGTGGATTCCACCACATCTACCTCAGCGCCTCTCCCTACGATCTCGACGAGTCGGTGATCAAGACGATTCCAATCTTCTTCTAAAGCAGCAGCAGCAGTTTTAGAAAATTGCCCTCCCCTGCCGCCACCGCCGCCGCCTACAAAGACTGCGTCGTCTGCCTACTGGAATTCGAAGACGGAGATTACGTCCGCAAGCTTCCCGTTTGCTCCCACGCCTTCCACGTCGATTGCATCGACATCCAGGTTAGGTCTTACGCCAACTGCTCGCTCTGCCGCGCCACGCCAGGATTTCCCTTCGACCTCCGGAATTCGGGCCGCTCATGGCGGCGCGAATTCGGCCCAGCCTCATCGACGAGCGCTCCAATGCCCTATCGAGTCTTTCAAATAGAGAACTTTTGGAGTTTGATTTCCCCGTCCCCGGTGGGTAGTAGAATTGCTACGCCGACGAAGTTAGCGGCAGAGACGATAAGCACGATGACGGTGAAAAATAATAATTAAAGAAATTTTTATTTTTATTTTTTTTTAATTTATAATAATTAGCTGGAAAATAAGAAATAATTTTATTTTATTTTTTATTATTTTTTAACTGCCACGTCAATTATTTAACGATCAACTATAATAGTTGACCGCCACATCAGCAAAAGTTAACGGAGACTAACGGTCAGTGACCAAACTTAAACTGTAAACCTAATTTAAGTGACTACGGATGGAATTAAGTAATTCTAGTGGTTAACGTGAAATTTACTATTAATTCAAGTGACCAAACTTACCATTGAGCCCGTACACTACAGTTGGCTTTCAGGAATGTTTATCCGTTATTAATGGGAAAGCCAGAAATTGAAGTGGAAAGATGATAGGAATCCAAATGATCTTGTTTGTTTTCGGGTGGGGTTATGATAATTGGGAATCGAATTGAATTAGGAATTTAGAGGTTTAGAAGGAGAACTAGCAATTTGAGGAAGAAATAGGGAGGAAAGGGGAGAAGAATGGTAGGGTATTTGGAGATAAGTTTATGATGTAATCTTGTTTATTGATTGATGTACATGCTTATAGAAAAATATTGGATAGATCTGATAAATAACTTAATAATACTTAAATATTATTAAACCGAATAGTTCGCTTTTGATTTACCATATAAGATTAGGTTCGATTGATGCTTCTTAGTGTTCGTTGAGTTGTATGATTGTGAATTTGTGAGTTGTGTTTACTTGGGGACAAGCAAAGTCTAAAGTGTCGGGTATTTCTTCTTCTATCAAATTCTACTTGATTTCATATTATTATTCTAACTATTTCATCAATGAGGTATTATTAGACCAAGATAGTGTTTTTTTTTAAATCTTTTTAGCTTGTTTAGTTGGATGCTACTATACATGTGTACACGAGATCAATGTTTGATTGTTAGATCATCGCGATGTGATAGAGTTTGCATACTTGATCATTTTTCCAAAGTACATGAACATGTCTAATGTTAAAAAATAGTGTATGACATGTTCGACAAAACTTCATAGCGGAGCGAGTGACATATTGTTCCTATAATCTCTTCTTTTTCTATTAGTTGTCATTACAAGTGTTGGAATAACACTTACTGCAATGAACTTCACAGTGGAGTGGCATTCTCCTGAAACTGATCACCAATGTTATGTAGCTGCCGTCTGCACGCCTGCACCATAGTAGTAGTTGTTCTAGCAACCAGTAGCTCAGCTTGTTCCTCTGTTTTCCGCTCAAATGTTCAAGAGCTTAAATTAAGGTGTACAATGCATCTGTTATGTATCATAAATGTTTGAAATCAATCAGTCAGTCAGTTGTAGTTTTCTGCTTCTTCTTCCGCGATTTTGGCTTCTTGCCGGACCTCTTCTTCTCCTTCTTGGGAGTTCCATAATCGTCTTCATCTTTCAGCAAATGTTCGTACTCTTCAATACTCGCAAACGGGGAAGCACCCTTACCACCGCCGATCTTCCCTGGCCGTCGTCTTTTCTTCTTCGTATCAACCGCAGCGGCCTCCTCTTCATCCTCATCGCCGTAATCAGCGTCTCCGACCTCAATGTCGCTACCGTCTTCTCCCTCGGCGACATCCGACAGGGCTTCCATGTCAACATCGCTAACGTCACCCACCAACTCATCCTCGTCCTCACCGGCGACTTGGTCCAGATCGTCGTAGTCGTACTCACCGCTGTCATCTTGATCCAATGTAGCGTCCAGCAGCTCCTCAATCTCTTCGTTGTCGCTCTCGTCGCCTCCGGCCACGTCATCATCAGCGCCGCCATCTCCCGCGTCGAAAAGATCCTCGGCGTCCTCTTCCGCAGAGGTCTTTTTCTTCTTCTTCTTTTGCTTCTTGGGGTTCGTACTGTTGGCTTTGTTGGCGTAGAATTTGTGGAACACGACGTCTTCGGGAGCAACGTCTTCCTCCGCCAGGGACAGAATCTCCGGCCCGATCAGGTTATTGTCCATCTCGAGCTGACGTAAGGGAGATAACAAAGGTCAATAAAAACGCACAAATCCAACTAGAATGGAGCTTGTCAAGAACCGGGAAGCATTCAAAAAAAGTAAACACCTTCTTGGAGGGTTCGATTTGGGAGCCGCCGTGCCATTCCTTCTGCTTCGGTTTCTTCTCCATGAACTTGTCGAGGAAAGCACTCGCCGACAGGTCGTTTAGAGGGTTTCCGTTGTAGACTATGTTGGAGCCAGAGAGAAGCGTTCCAGCCATGGTGGCTACTGAAGGGTGGGCATGGGTAGCGAGTACTCGAAGCTCCCACCAGCTGGCACGGTCAGCATTGCTATGCATTCCACCAAGAAAATAGAAGCTCAAAAACAAAGGCAAAGCACAAGGACAATTCATTCGTTTTGTAAAGAAGGTTTAATACCAGTAAGATGGCTCTCTGTGGCGAGGGTCGTAACCCCCTGGCAAGGGAGCTCTAGCCAGTATAGTATCAGCTTTTAAATCATCCTTGTTAGGTTCCGGTTCCGATTGTACTTTTTCTGAATAATCTACTCTTAGCAGTTGACCAGCATCATCGTCTGAACCATCATCATCGTCGTCGTCAGAACTTGAGGTGACAGTCTTACCTTCTTCTTCATCTTCGGAAGAAGAGTCAGATTCGTGCTCATGGTCTTCCTTCTCAATACTTTCATCCATTGTAGGGAGATCAGTAGGATCTTTCTTGTCGTTTTCCTCAACGACATCCTCAAAATGCTCATCTTCTTCGTCCACGGCCTCGTTCTGAAGCACCAAATTCCTGCACGTCATGGGTTGTGTATGAAATGAGAAAATAAAATGTCCCGCCCAGCAAAACGGGTGAATAGCATACGAGATCGAGCTTCGGTACCATAGAGGGGGTCTCGCTTTGAGAGCTTCAGAGAGTAGAAACAGGCATCCACAAGCGTATTGAGGTGGCTGATGCATAGCAACCTGTTCAAGAACTTATGAAATCAAACCCTTATCCGAACACAAACAGTCGGAAAGTAGTTGAAAGTATTCCCCTCATGCAACCGAGAGAGGAATATAACAACTAACCTGCAACAGGCGCTTTGTGAATGCAGACACGCGCTTCAAGTTCACATCATTTTTCATGGCTCTGAGGATTAGGCCAATAAACATTTCCACCTGAAGAACACAATTGAGGAAGATAGAAGTTATTCACTTGCATAAATGGGATACTTAGGTGCTTAAATGACAAAAGAGGGAGGCTAATTACTTGCCTTGGAGGAATTCATGGAAGTTGGAAGTAGAAGCTTAGCATACAAGGAACGGTAGAAACGATCACTAACAATCTGATTCTTGGAAGAGATTTTATCAAGCAGCATTAAGGCTTGAACTCCTACATTGAAGTTTTGGGAGTGAACCTGCATCAACAAAGCATCAATCGCCTTCAAAGCTAAAATCCAAGGTCATTGATGGCATTGATTTTCTCGTTTTATTGGCTAAATACAAGGTCATTTCTCGTTTTATTGATGGCATTGATTTTCTCGCCTTCAAAGCTAAATACACAGAGAAAAGCTTACCAGCTGGAAGAGCATTGGTGTCTGGCCCTCTACGATATCATCAGCCTCATTACTTGAAACATAAGGAAACGCCCTATTGACCCCCTGATGAGATTAGGAAAAAGGCAAGCATGAATTGCAAGCAGCACTGAGCGAAAAGCATCATCTTGACGTGAATCCGGGAGGGACATGAGGGGGATTTGAACTTACCACTAAAAGAGCTGAAAGAAGTCGTGAATCCATCTCAATATGAGATTCTTGTGAAGCTTTAACTTTCCCTTCCCTAGAAGGACCAGAAGTACTCTTATCTTCAATTTTGCTGTCTTTATCCGTTTTCTGACTAACACCTGCCTCAGTGATCAACACCTGAGAAGAAGATGGTTCAATATCATATGCCTTGAAAAATGTATATACCCATATATTTATGTAACCGAAATATAATAAGTACACATAAAAGGGTGCATTCTTTCTTGAAATCCTGGGTACCTTGAATAATGCAAAGTACACATCTATCAAACGCTTTGCAACCTTCGGTCCATCTCCTCTATTGCTTAGTCGAATTTGGCTCAAAAAGTTGACCTGCAAAAGGGAAGCAGAGATAAAGTGGTTGTCCGGAATAGCAGTTGGAAGAAATCAAATCAAAGGATATGAAAAGGACATACGGCATAGTATTTGGCTCGCATGCCCAAGTGAGGGCGAAAGAGGAAGGAGTCCACTTCGTCAATGACTACAGCCTGTAGAAAAGAACAGTCTAATCGGTCAGCTAAATGGCAGATAAGCACATGAGAAAATAGAGAAGATAAGGTGCTTCAAGTTGTCCACCTTCATACTGGGGTGATCAGAGAGCAAATTTGTCAAATAATACTCCGCATTTGATGCACCCTTAGTTTGAGGATCACCTAGCTGCACAAATAATTGAAATTTTAATATGGTTAAAACTATAGGTAAGAGAACCAACCTTATTGAATTAAAAACTCGAACTTAGAAGCTGTTTGAAATGCAAAATGTTGAACTTTATAATGTATTGAATTTTAAACTCAGACTTACTTTATTCACTAAGGATGAGAGCAATCTGCGCTCCTGCTCTGATTTGCTCTTCAACAGCATATACATGCTCTGGGATTAAAGACATCAAGGTCACAAGCAAAGATATCATGTTAACCTATCACGGACTATTGATATATACATGCAAACGAATTAAACAGCTCCTCAATGCAAGCAAAACTGGTACAGAAAAAGAGAATCGGGGAAAAGAATTGTGCATTGAAGGGGGGGGGGGGGGGGGGGGGGGGGGGGAATAAACATATGCATTGACATTCCATGGAAATACCAACCTTCAAAGCCTTGTCTTTTAGTATGGGTAGCATATCTCTGGATGCATCCTCAAGGGCCAGAACAAAACGTTCATACCTAAGGCGATGATAAGGAGAGAAGTCGAAGTAAGCTCATGAATTTCTGCCTCAGCAAACAACTAGAGCAATCCATTGCTTAATTAACAAAGAGGGAAGAAAAAGAAGCCAACCTCTGTTTTAGGCAATCCTCCCAATACCAAAAGAGAAGAAGGGAATAACCATCTTTTGTCTCGGGAAGATCATTAAGAGGCCTCTGCAAGAGTGTCTTCAGCTTACGATCAGGAAGCAAACTGGTGATTGAGTAAACCAGAGTCATAATGCAATTTCAATCACACGACTTAAGGGCAAATTGCAGGAAGCTATCAATTGTTGATGAGAGAAGAAACAGAAGCCAATTGAAGAACTTCTTTGTACAACATTAGCAAGCTCTCGGATATATTAGGAATCGGGTACTTAGATGTCAATTAACACTTAGCATTCATTGAAGAACAATCCGAGGTTAATAGGCTCACATTAGTAAACAACGTCGAGCACAAATTTCATGAACAACAAGTTGACACCTTAAACAACAAAAAGACTAAGGCAACTGCATACAGCATGGAAATGGAAAAGAATGAAACCCAAAAGGAACGAAGTGGTAACCTTTCAACAAAAAGTTCTTTCAATGCTTCGAAACCTGACAACGCATGACGCTTCCCCACTTTTGATGCCACCATTCCTGCAAAAATAAAAGATTGGCGTCCATTCAGAAAGAGATGAACTAATCGCAAAACTGCAAATTCATTAGTCAAAGAATGCTCTTTCGCAAACAATCGAGATAGCCTTTCACTCACCAACAAGTGCATCGAGAGAACGCAGATTAGCCATGGGATTATCTCCAATGAGGACAGAAAAGGCGGAGACCTTATCAGCAGCAGTACCAGACCTCTGAGTAGTGACAAGCATCTTAATATCAGCATTCTGCCCTCTACTCTGTTCATAGTCTTGTGCATACTGCCACATCAACCTCTCCCCAACCTCCCTCTTCTTCTCCACAAACATTTTCCATTCCTCCACGCTCATCTTGACTTCCACCTTCTTGTTAGCCTCTCCCAGCACTTTCACCTCCAATTCCGCAGCATCCACGTGCCACACACCGACTGCATTTGCCTTTATCAGTGGCAGCTTGGGGAGGTTCTTGTACTTCTCAACCGATGTTGCTCTGGTATTGTTTGGTTTGGATTCTGCCTGACCCAAATTATCAATCGACATATCCAAACCACTGGTAATTGAGTCTAATTGATAATAAAATGAACTGGACAACCCATGAGCCATATCTTCTACGTTTATACTTCTCCTAAGTTCAATCGAAGAGTCAGGACTAAACAACCCAGATTCTGCTTGAAAACAGAATGCTGAATTACCCTAAGACAAATCTACAGTTGGTATTGATTAAACCCTAAGTAAATCGCCCAAAACATAACCATT